GCCTGGTCCTACCCAGCCCTGATTGGCCCTCTCCAGGCCTTTCCAATCCTGCACAACCCTGCTTGTCCGTTCCCATTCCTTTCCATCATTCCCAATCCCTACCCATTCCTTCCTGGCACCTTCCGTTCCCTGCCCATCTCTGCCTATCCCTGCCCCTCCTCACCCATCCCTGCCTGTCCCATCCCTTCCCTGCCAACGCCTGCCCATCCCTTCCCATCCTATCCATGCCCATCTCTCCTCATTCTAGCCCATTCCTACCTGTCCCTGCCCATCCCATCCCATCCCTGCCCATACCTGCCCATCTCTCCCCATCCAAGCCCATCCCATCACATCACATCCCATTCCATCCCACCTCATTCCATCCCATCCTACTCCACTCCACGCCCTGTCCTAACTCCGCCATCTCTCCCACGGTGCCAGGCCCAGGGCACAGCCTATCACAAGGCCAAACGCGTCCGCATTTCCATTGTGGTAAGCTGCAGCCAATCACAGCCTGGGCACAGCTCCTCTCAGCCAATCAGAGCCTAGCATGGGTTCTCTGAACCAATCAGATTATGCCTGGCCAATAAAATCAGGCCTGTGTCTGTGCAGCCAATCCCGGACAGCTACAATTCTGTTCAGCCAATCAGTCCCAAACTTTCCTGGCCAATCAGGACTTGGAGCCTCTCAGCCAGTCACGGCTGTGGGACCTGCCCCATTTTGCTCAGCCAATCATGGCACCCCTTGCATTTTCTCCACCAATCAATCATGAGCTTGGCTTGTCCAATCTGGGCCAATCAGGGTGTGACCAATGTCCTGTCAACCAATCATGTTACCTGACCTGCTCTGCCCCAACCTGCCCACGTGCTACCTGCGCCGTCTGCATGTGCTGCCTGTATCCTGCCCATACCCTGCCTGCAGCCAGCATGCGGGTGCACTGCCTGCTGCCCTCTGCGCTGCTCCAACACGCCTCTCTTGCAGGAGGAGATGATCCTGGGTGACAAGATGACCCCAGCAGAGGTGAGGGGGTGGGCAGGGGTGGGTAGGACCCTACCTGCCCACAGGGACTCCGGAGATCCCAAGGGGGTGCCAAGGCGTGAGGTGGGGGTGGATGAAACAGATTTCTCCATAACACCGAGTGTAGGGAGAATGGGGGGGCCCTTGCTGGCACCTGGGGGGAAGCCATGCCCCTAATCCTGCCCAATGGCACAACCCCCCCAGATCCTGGAGTGGGAAGAGCAGCAGCTGGACCAGCTGGTGGACTTCAGCAGCGCCAAGATCGACCCTGCACCCTTCCAGCTGGTGGAGCACACCTCACTACACAAGGTGCACCCACACCCCACCCCAGACCCCCACCCACACCCGCTCTGACCACCAACTCAGCCTCTGCTCCTCCTGCAGACCCACACCATCTTCTCGCTGCTGGGCTTGGACCACGCGTTTGTCACCAGCATCGGGCGCCTGGTGGGCATGGTGTCCCTCAAGGAGGTGAGCAGGGGGGCGGCGGACTTGGAAGGGCACAGAGCAGAACCTGGAGCTGTTTGCCCACGTTTTTGGGGTGCCCACAGCTGCGCAAGGCCATTGAGGGCTCAGTGACGGCCAAGGGGGTGAAGGTGCGCCCACCGCTCGCCAGCTTCCGTGACAGCACCGCCAGCACCAGCGACGCCGACACCACAGCCCTGCGCCAGCTCTGGGACCGCCACCAGCACCACCCCATGCCCCGCGAGGCCAGTCCTGGGGGCGAGGATGATGATGATGACACTCCCAAGGGGCAGTGAGTCCCTTGAGGTCCCACCTGTGTCACCAGAAGCTGCAGGGGCCCCTGGCAGGTGCCAGGGAATGCCTGCCCTGTGCCCACTCACACCAGGCTCAGCACAGGAGTGGGCACCCTCAATCCAGTGCCGCTGCCCCCTCCCTGTGCTGGGGATAGGTTGGGTGCCCCCCAGCCTGCCCCTGCTCCCCAACTACCTGCCAGCTCTTGGGGCTTCCCACTTTGCTACCTCTGCACTCTCCAAACCCCCTGGTGCCCCCTGGAAGGGCCACTGCCCCTACCCCTCCATGGGCACCACAGTGTCCCTGCTTGGGGTGGCCCAGGGAGGCAGAGGGGCATCAGATCAGGATGCCTGCAGGGACAGGGGTGGGCACTGCCCCCTGTCCTCAGCGCCTCCTAGCTGGGAATGGGGGGTCCTGCTGCCTATCTGCTGGGCACCCCTCCCCCTGTAAATACAGAGATTTTTATATTAATTTAATAAAAGGACTTTATAAACAGAGCCAGAGCACTGAGGAGCTGAGGGTAGGGAGGGGCACAGCCAGTGAGCACCAGCTGAGCCTCACCACAGCGCCGGGGTTGGGATCACTTGGGGCAACGAGCCTTTTGTTGCCCAGTGCCGCTCACAGCGTGGCCTCGCTGCGGTACAGCAGCGGAGGGGGCTGCCCAGGGCGGGCACCGGCACGGCGCCGGGCTGTGATGACCAGAGTGCCGGCTTCAGTGAGGGTGCAGCTCACCGACAGCGGGTCCGTGTCCTCTGGCAGCTGGCACTTGTGGGTGAAGGTATCACAGACAGTGCCATCCTCAGCCACCTGTGGGAAGGCAGCACCAGTGCAGTGGAATACGGCGTGGCATGGTGGTACACAGCACACCCCCAGTTAAACCCAGTGCTACTAATGGGGCAACTGCCAGTCACCCTGGCTCCAGCAGGAAGCTCAACAGGGCAGTTCCCAGTGACTCAGGGACAATTCCCAATTACCCCATTGCCAGCAGGGAGCAGGTACCAGTTGCCCCAGTCTTGTGAGGTGATTTCTAACTACTCCAGTGTCAGCAGGGACTGTTCCCAATTGCCCACCTTCAGCAGAGAATGCAGTGGAGCAGGAGTTCCCAGTCGCTCCATTCTCGGTGAGGACAGTTCCCAGTTACCCCACTACACGAGAGGTGCAGTAGAGCAGGAGCTACCTGTTGTCCCATCACTAGGGCACAGGTCCCATTTATTACCCCAGTGCCAGTAGGGGCCATTCCTCAGTTACCACTCCATCCCCCCACCCACAGGAGAGGGGTGTCATGGGGCAGGATCCCCACTGTACCATGGCCAAGAGGGGATGCTGCCCCCTCGGGGTGCCTCACCTTTTCTGCCTGGATGGAGACATGGCAGTTGGAAGTGGTCACCACAATGTCAGGGGGATCAAACTGGCTGACGTCGGCCACCACTTGGTAGGTGTCACCCTGGGCACGCACCCAGGTGCCCAGGCTGCAGGGGTACATGGCGCCTGGGGACTCTGCGGGCATTGGAGGGCTAATGGGCATGGGGGCACAGTACCTGGGGATGGGGGGCTGTGGGAGAGTCTGGTGACACTGGGGGAGGGAGGGCTGGGGGTAGCAGCAGCAGTGGGAGTTTGGGGACACTGAAGGTGCTGAGGTAGTTGCAGGGGGAATTGGGTATTCCAGAGTAGGGGGGTACTGGGTGATCTGGTGTGGTCCAGGGGTAGAACAAGGAAATGGGGGGTCTGGATGAGGGTACTGGTAGGGTCTGGGGGCACTGGACAACCTGCAGACAGCAGGAAAATAGCACAAGAAGCTGAAAACACTGTTGATGACCAGGAAAATCTGGAGGCAGCAGGCTGGTGGGGAAGACGGCACTGGAGTTACTGGGGGTGTACAAGAAAGGGGGGGGTGGCTAACAGGGAACATCAAGGGGTCTGGGGCACAGAGGAGCTGAGGACATAAGGGCAGCCGGGATGGTTGGGGTGGACTGGAAAAGGCTATGAGTAGTTCTGGGGACACTGGGAGGCTCAGAATTGTCTGGGGAGAGGGTAGCAGGGAGCATAGTGGTCCTGGGGACAGCCAGGACACTGGAGGCACTGGGGACTTACAGGGAGAGCAAAAAGCACCTGGGGGGGATGAGGGCTTGGGAACAGTCCAGATAGCCACAGGGCACCTGGGTGGCAGTCAGGGTTCCCCTTCCAGCCTTCCCAGCCCGTGCAGGGGGGACGGTCCCACTCTGTGCCCAGGCACAGGGCAGCTGGATAACCCTTAGAGGGACCCTCCCCAGGGTAGCAGGGCCCCCCACTCCCCATCCCTGGTACCTGGATACCCAAACACCTCATGTGCCCGTGGCCCAAAGGGTCCGTGCCGCCGGTCGCCCTCGAAGCGGGGTTCGCCATGGCCCTGCCCATAGGCGCTGATGAGCTCGGCATGGTACGCCGCGGCTGAGCTGAGCGATGCCATGGCGCCTGCTGCCCGCACCCCCCAGAGCCCTGCCGTGGGGAGGGTCCAGCCGCCCGCCAGACACCACTGCCAGATGCCCATAATTAGGCACCCTGTCCCTAGGAATGCGAGATAAGGGACGATGCCTGATGCCTCCGTCACCCTGTGGGGCCGCGGAGGGGGATACATCACTGCCACCACTGGCCTGCCACTCCTCTGACCCCCGGGGAGGAGGTGCCCCCACCTGCAAGAAGAGGCTCCCGGCGCAGCACTCGCACAATTGACTTTATTCAAGACCTGGCAGGATAGAGGAGGGGGTGCCACGGTGTGGACACCCCACAGGTACCGCCGCAGCGGGGTGGGGGGCTCAGGCAGCCCCACAGATATGCACATGCGTGCACATGCCCATGCGCTCCCAGGTGTGCACATGCACACACACACAGAGCAAAGCCCCCCACCCACCTGCAGGCACCCCAGACTCACCATCCCATCCTATCCCTGTACCCTGGGGAGCATCTGCTGCCCTCGGGAGGGAATGGCAGCGGGTGGCAAGGAGCCCATTGGCACGGCATCAGGCCTGCCAGCCCCTGCAGCCCCTCATAGTTTGGCGATGGAGGGGTGGGGTTGGGGGGCAGCCCCACAGTGGGCACCCCAGGGCAGGGAGGGAGAACAGGGGCTGTGCCCAGCAAAGGCTTGTGGGGGTGCTGGGGGTGCACAGGAGCAGGGGTGCAGCAGGTGCTTGGGGCACCCTGGGATGAGAGGCCAGGGGACCACGGCCAGGGTGGGTGAGGAGCAGCATGCAGGGGGAGAGTGGCCCTACAAGAACACGTGCCATGCGGGAAGGGGCGTGCAAGCGTTGGCAAAAACTGGCATTCCTCCCCCAAACCACGTGCCTGGAACCCCTGGCATGGGCTTGAGGGGCCCCCGAGGTGGGGGTGCCACCCCCAGCCAGGATGGGGGGGGCTGGTCGCCCTTCATGTAGGCACTTGGTTCCCTGCTAGTGGTGAGTGACCTGGGGACAGGGACATAAGTCCCACTGCCTACCCTCTCTCTCCACCCAGCATTGCCTCACAGCAGATTTGGGGAGCCCCGGCTGGGCTGAGCCCCTTGCTGAAGGGCTGGCTTGGGGCTGCTGTCCTGGTCATCCAAAGCCACCATTCTGAGTGTCCATGCCCACCTGGCCCTGCAATCTTCCTGTGCCAGCCCCATGCATGTACAAAAGTATAGAAAGTCCCAGCACCACGGCACATCCGCAGCCCCCCAGAACACCCAGCACCCCCACAGCATCTCTCTGGCAGCCCCATGTACCGAGGCAGCAGTTCACAGTTTAAAACTCGGTCTGATAAAAGTTGGCCAGGGAGAGAGGAGAAAAGCCCCTCCCACCCCAAATGGCCACCACCATCCTGGCTCAGGGTGGTGGGGGTACCACGGGATGCTCAGAGAGTTTCAACCATGCCAATGGCGGGGGGGGTGGGGGCCTGTGCCCAAAAGGGGAGCCCAGGGTGGTTTGGGGGAGAACATGCGAACAGTCAGCCCCACTTATTTAGTCTTGTTAGTTTTGGGGGTCACATCTGGGCATCAGGGTGGGGGACAGACCCCCCGAGCCCTTCCCTGCGCCTCTTCCCTGCTCTCATGCAAAAATCCAGGAGGGCAACGATGTGGCCAAGCAGGGCCAGGGCACAGTGGGGGCACACTGGCTGGGGGGGCTGCAGTGGTCCCCCGAGCCCCTCCTGCGCCCGGATAGCGAGGGGGAGCAGCAGCAGGGCCCGTCCCTTGCCCAGTATGGGGTCTGGCCAGAGGGCTTCGGTAGGGGGACTGGACCCCCACCAGGAGAGGCAGGGCACCCTGGGGGGCATCAGGGCTCTTCAGCGTCCTCCTCCTCCTCCAGCGATGCCACCCCAGAGGAGGCGACATCGGAGACTTTCCGGCGCAGAGGGAAGTCCTTGCTCAGCACCACCTCATCCTCCGCGGGCGAGAGGCAGGCTTCGGCGTAGGACACGGAGTAGAGGGAGTCCTGGCACCGGAGCCGTGCCAGGCCCCGCAAGGCACTTTGGCTGGCTGGGGGTGGCAGCTTGGGCAGCAGCAGGTCCTCGCCCCCCAGGGAGCCCAGCAGTTTGGCAGTGAGTTCGGAGGGGGACACCATCTCCAGGCTGCAGAGGCTGGAGCAGAGAGTCTCAGGGGAGAGGGTGTGCGAGGAGTCGCTCTCGGGCTCGCAGGAGCCGTGCCGCACGCCCAGCTGGCACAGGTGGCCCTGCAGCAGGTCTCGCAGCAGCGCACTGGCGGGCATCGTGCCAGACAGCTCTGTGGAGAACCAGGACACTGGGTCAGTCCAGGGCTGAGGGCACCACGGATGTCAGCTGCCCCCTCCACTGTGCCCAGCAGGTTGGGAGCACTCCCATGACCCCTTTGCCCACAAATTGCTGCATGCACTGTTAACCACCAAAGGAAAAGCAAAACATGCTCTGGCACCAGGGAGGGTGTCACGTTGAAGGGCTTCCCCATCCCTGGCATGGGCACTGTTTGCCATGATGCCAGGCAGGAGCACTGCCCTGTGTAGAGATGGCTAGGCTGGGGAATGTGCCAGGCAGCTCCTTCAACCCTCAGTGGTGGGACACCCACAGTGGCAGCAGGGCCACTTGCCTGCTCCCCATGGCACTTACCGGTGGCCTGGGAGCTCTCTGTGGAGGGCAAGAAGTCCTCGTCATAGGACTCGTCATTGGAGTCGTCCCCATCCACCGAGGACCAGGCTCGCAGCTTGGCCTCAGCGATGGCAAACTGCTCTGCCACTCCTGGCACAGGACAGGTACGGGTCAAATACATGCAGGGAGGTGCCCCCAAATCCCCCTGCCCCAGCACCTCTATGCCCCCAGTGGATGGATAGATGGATGGATGGATGGATGGACGGACAGATGGACGGATGGGGACAACCTGTCCCACCACCCATGCCCTCAGCCACAGTGAGGACCATGCCCACCGGCCATGCCCCACGGTGCCCACCGGCAGCAAATCGCGCCTCCTGCTCGCCCT